GGTCCCACGTGCTCCCAGGAGTCCCCACGTGCTCCCAGGCGTCCCCACGTGCTCCCAGGAGTCCCCCATGTGCTCCCAGGAGTCCCCACGTGCTCCCAAGGGTCCCCACGTGCTCCCAGGAGTCCCCACGTGCTCCCAAGGGTCCCACGTGCTCCCAGGAGTCCCCACGTGCTCCCAGGCGTCCTCACGTGCTTCCAGGAGTCCCTCACGTGCTCCCAGGAGTCCCCCACGTGCTCCCAAGGGTCCCACATGCTCCCAAGGGTCCCACGTGCTCCCAGGAGTCCCCACGTGCTCCCAGGCGTCCCCACGTGCTCCCAGGAGTCCCCACGTGCTCCCAAGGGTCCCACGTGCTCCCAGTAGTCCCCACGTGCTCCCAAGAGTCCCACGTGCTCCCAGGAGCCCCCACGTTGTCCCAAGAGTCCCACGTGCTCCCAGGCGTCCCCACGTGCTCCCAGGAGTCCCACGTGCTCCCAAGAATACTCACGAAATTCATAACATTATACATCTTAGCCAATCCTTTTGCCTCATACTGCCTTGTGAGCCTTGTTCGGCCTGGAGCTTGGCTCGTCTTGTCATTACTTGCTCTAGAAGGCTGTTGCTTGCAGCAGCCCGCAGCTGCAAGCATAAACATATTAAACAAAATATATAACCTAGCATATATAACCTAATATATCCACATATCCATAACAACCCGGTTGGTCCGGCACTTGTACAATTCTTTTCGTGTATATTGGGAAGTTTCAACTATTTTTGGGGGCATTATTTTTGCTATTATTTGTATTATAATAATAATAATAATAATCTTTATTTAGGTAAGGTACATACATAAAGAGATTTACAAAGTTTGTTGGCTTTATAGATAGAGCTAGTACATACAATGCCTAAAGCCACTATTACGCAAAGCTTTGTTTACGCAAAGCTTTGTTTACGCAAAGCTATTGTTTTGAGCCAAGTGTTGGGTTGGTGTATGAGGATGTGGTCGTCAACTTTGGCTCTCACGAACATTAAGCAGAACAGTTTGGTGTGTTTAATGTTGATACGAAAGTTCTTGCAAGAGGCTTTAGTCTTTCTTTTAGGCTTTATTAATGTATATAACTTAGGCTTTTACTGTTGATACCCACACAACTTCTCCTAGTGCCAACTGCTGGTTAATTAATGATTGTTTTTAGAATCAGGCATTTGCTTTTTTAAGACGAATTTAATGTGAAAGTTCCTACAGATGTTATCAGATACCAACTGACGAAGCTTTGGAGGTTTTGCAAATTTCAAATCACATTATTTGGGCCATATGTTCCTTGCTACAATACCCAGTAACCATTGTTCCAAAGGACTGATAATGCTGGTCTTAAGACTCCCTAAAATCAAGACAATTCCTTGAGAAATGTATCGAGGGACAAAGTCGTTTTGAACGCGCTAGGCTCAGAACACGTACTTTGTCCCGTCCAAAATATTTGAATTCATATATCATGGACCTCAAAAAATAAACCCCAGACTGTAATATTATACAATTTACACCATCGTTTTAAAAGTTCTTGTATTAATTCTGTCTATCACATGTCCTGTATTTTTTTTTTTACCGCGTCGTATTTTTGAGAGCGGCCAGGCAGACAATGGAACAAAAGAGGCGAGCGTTGCGTAATGGCGGGTTGCGCGGCCAACCTGCCACTGAAGTCATTGTCTTGCCGCCAGACTCAGGCGCCTCTGGGGCCAACAATTGCCTTTCTTCGCCAGAATTTGGGACACAAAATATCTTTGTTTTCAGGTGAGAAGCGAGTTGTGAAATCGATCATTAGTGGACACAGAACAAAGGACGTCCTTTGACAAGGGCGGGGGGGGGGGGGGGGCTTGACCTTCGTGACCCCGGGCTCGGTCTCTCCTGTGACCTCGGTCAGCAAACCTCTGGAAGCATAACTGAGGTCACAGTGGTTCAAAGGTTCAAGTACGTTTATTAAGACAATAAAATACATCTCAAAGAGTTTGAGTCGCTTAGGCTATTTCTACCCCACCAAGGTTCAAGGTTACCTTACGATGATTTCGGGGCTCGACATCCCCGCGGCCCGGTCCTCCTTACTTAGTTGTGTCTACGGGAAGTTCAGGTCCAGCTCTTGAGTCCCGCCTCAGAGTTCCTATACCTGGTGTTACTGTACCCTCTCACGTGATAGCACTATTATCAGCCAATCCGTCATCTCCCAAACTATCCATCCTAAGGCACGATAGCACTAATGAGTTAGCAAGTTGAGTGCCACCTTAAGAGTGTCTGGAGCAGCCCCGAGGAGTGCCAGTGGCACTGATAGCGGCATGACGGGGCCAAAGACAGTCGTGTTGATCAAGGGGCTCCAGGCAACGGTGTTTGCTGTCGAAAGCAAACAATGTTACAGTCATGTAACGTAATGGAGCAGAGTGCTACAATCACGTCTTTTTTTTTTTTGCTTTTTGGTTTTTATATCACTAACAAATCTAGCCTGAGGCGTGTGGGCGAGGCTTTGTGGGGGTGCGGGAAGGTCTGCCATCTGTCTACCACGCTGACACGATGTCATGACAGCAGACGGGCTGTCTACCATGCTGACACGATGTCATGACAGCTGACGGGCTGTCCGCCTCGCTGACACGATGTCATGACAGCAGACGGGCTGTCCGCCTCGCTGACACGGTATACACACATGTGTTTGGTAGCTCTCTGTTCCCCGAGGGGCCGGTGGAGACACATGGGACACATGTGCCCACATGTGACCACATGTGTCCCAGCACACGAGGACGTCCTGGCGTGGCTGGGCGAGGGTGAGTGATGAAGATTAAGCCACCCAAGAAGGTGGCACGGGCATGAATAGCCCCGTAACTGGGCAAGGGGGTCTGGGCCATTCGTAAATACACTCTCGGGTGCTGGTGTAGATGTCTCCCTGCTCCTCTATGCTGGGGCCACAGTCTCGGGGCCAGATTCACGAAGCAGTTACGCAAGCACTTACGAACGTGTACATCTTTCCTCAATCTTTGACGGCTTTGGTTACATTTATTAAACAGTTTACAAGCATGAAAACTTGCCAATCAACTGTTGTTATTGTTATAAACAGCCTCCTGGTGCTTCGGAGCTCATTAACTGTTTAATAATTGTAAACAAAGCCGCCAAAGATTGACAAAAGATGTACAGGTTCGTTAGTACTTGCGTAACTGCTTCGTGAATCTGGCCCCTGGGCAGTGGCGGATTGAGATAGGGGGGGGCAGCAGGGGGAGGGGGGTGAAATACCTGGGGGGGAGCAGCAGGGGGAGGGGGGTGAAATACCTGGGGGGGGGGGGGAGGAGGCTGGGGCAGTGGATCAGATTATAAAGGCAAAATTGCGAAAGAGTTAAGCACGATTTGTTGCTTCATAACTTTCCCTCTCACAGGCTTGCCCTCCATGTCCGTGAAGTCCGTTTCTCTCTCACACACATATATGGGTGCTGGTGGCCAAGTGGACACCACGCTGGATATGTAGTCTTGTGGTTCGGGGTTCGATTCCCAGCGCAGGTGGAAACAAAAATTGGCAGAGTTCACCATGATGATGCCCCCCCCCTGTTACCTAGCAGTAAATAGGTACCTGGGAGTTAGACAGCTGTTACGGGCTGCTTCCTGGTGTGTGTGTGTGTGTGTGTGTGTGTGAAAAAATAGTAGTAGTTAGTAACAGTTGATTGATTGACAGTTGAGAGGCGGACCGAAAGAGATTCAACCCTCAAAAGCTCAACCCTCGTAAGCATAACTAGGTAAACTCACACACACATACACGACCCCCTCCCCCCTCCCAAATGAGCCACAGAGATATTAGAAACAACTTTTTTAGTGTCAGGCTGACTCCATACACAGTTTCAAGTGTAGATATGATAGAGCCCAATAGGCTCAGGAACCTGTACACCAGTTGATTGACGGTTGAGAGGCGGGACCAAAGAGCCAGAGCTCAACCCCCGCAAGCACAATTAGGTGAGTGTACTCACTACACGCTATTCTTCCCTTATCAAACATCCGGAACAATTAGTGAGTAATTAATCACTTCTCAACCATAGTCGTCGCTGTGGGAACCGACCTGTGAGACTTATATTTAATTAATTTATATGAATTTATATAGAATTTATATTTACGTTAATTTATATATTTCGATAGCAATTTGTATGATGTTAAGTGGACTGTATTTCTGCAATAATCTCACAAATCGATCCTTACACATTAGAGGGGTTTATATTAAATTTATGTATATGCAGCCAATCAAACTACAGTATTAACTACATATATTAGTATACACTGAGGAGGTTCCTTATCTTATATTGTACAGCAGCCTTAGTCCACCAGGTATACCTAGGATGTAGACACCAAATTATCCTCGATTGAGGCTAGCTTCCATCACCCAGTAACTGATGTACCAAGTCTTGCTTCCTCTTCTTGTTCCTGTCAAAGGGCACCAGCTGTAAAGCCAGAATCCTAATATATGACAGCTATATCAGAGAAAACACTGTACAATGAATCATAACCACCAAGGCTTAATTACCTTTTTTGAGTCGATCATTTGTGTTCTCACCGGTTCACCCAATATCTACCTAACATTAATGGCCAAAAATTATTAGATAAACGGGTTTCGGAAAAAACACTTCCCTTGTGATTGTTGACAGTGTGTTGATGATGGCAGAACTTTGGTCTCCATAACACTTCGTCCAAGAGAATTTATAGGAGCTGAATTTGCCCCACGTCTCTGGTCTAACAACAATGGCTGCCCTCTCCTTCCTCACTGACGCCTTGGCACTTTGTCCAGATGTCAGTAACTGATAGAACGGTCACATTTACTTTATTTTGATACTGATAATTAAGTTAATTTATATGAAATGTTTTTATGATGGTAAAAGTCCAAAGACTAATGTATTTAAGAATAATTCCCAACAACAGTGTGGCAGTATGGGGCCACACTGCCCCATACCCCCCTTCAACTGACTACCTCAGTCAACACCCTCTTAACCCTCCCTTTTCCCCTCTATAATTCCAGTGTTCATCGAGGGTCCGGCGTTCAAGGGATTCTTCATCCAGGCCCGCGACGTCCAGCGGAAGGACTGGATCGGCCACTTCGAAGAGAGCGACGACATCGTCAGCTACCCGGAGTGTTCTTCGGTGACGCACGGCAACCCGCGCCCGAAGAGCAGGGTCGTGCTCACTTGGGTGGCGCCCTTGGACCGCTCTGGCACCGTCACCTTCACGTGAGTGGCCGGCATACAAAGCAGATGGACCAGAATTTTGGTTCATGCAGATGAAGGCTATTTTCGACCTCCACGAAATTACGTCAGAGCCTCAGACCCTGATCAGCGAGGGTCACACTTGCTAGCGGATGCTGAGACTTGCTAGGGGGGGGGATGCTGGGGTATTCTAAGGGGATGCTGGGGTATTCTGGGGGATGCTGGGTTAGCTTGGGGGATGCTGGGTTAGCTTGGGGGATGCTGGGTTATTATAGGGGATGCTGGGTTATTCTAGGAGATGCTGGGTTATTCTAGATGCTGGGTTATTCTAGGGGATGCTGGGTTATTCTAGATGCTGGGTTATTCTAGATGCTGGGTTATTCTAGGGGATGCTGGGTTATTCTAGGGGATGCTGGGTTATTCTAGGGGATGCTGGGTTATTCTAGATGCTGGGTTATTCTAGGGGATGCTGGGTTATTCTAGATGCTGGGTTATTCTAGGGGATGCTGGGTTATTCTAGGGGATGCTGGGTTATTCTAGGGGATGCTGGGTTATTCTAGATGCTGGGTTATTCTAGATGCTGGGTTATTCTAGGGGATGCTGGGTTATTCTAGGGGATGCTGGGTTATTCTAGATGCTGGGTTATTCTAGGGGATGCTGGGTTATTCTAGGGGATGCTGGGTTATTCTAGATGCTGGGTTATTCTAGGGGATGCTGGGTTATTCTAGGGGATGCTGGGTTATTCTAGGGGATGCTGGGTTATTCTAGGGGATGCTGGGTTATTCTAGATGCTGGGTTATTCTAGGGGATGCTGGGTTATTCTAGGGGATGCTGGGTTATTCTAGGGGATGCTGGGTTATTCTAGGGGATGCTGGGTTATTCTAGGGGATGCTGGGTTATTCTAGATGCTGGGTTATTCTAGGGGATGCTGGGTTATTCTAGGGGATGCTGGGTTATTCTAGGGGATGCTGGGTTATTCTAGATGCTGGGTTATTCTAGGGGATGCTGGGTTATTCTAGGGGATGCTGGGTTATTCTAGGGGATGCTGGGTTATCCTGGGGGATGCTGGGTTATCCTGGGGGATGCTGGGTTATCCTAGGGGGATGTTGGGTTATCCTATGGGATGCTGGGTTATCCTGGGGGATGCTGGGTTATTCTAGATGCTGGGTTATTCTAGATGCTGGGTTATTCTAGATGCTGGGTTATTCTAGGGGATGCTGGGTTATTCTAGATGCTGGGTTATTCTAGATGCTGGGTTATTCTAGATGCTGGGTTATTCTAGGGGATGCTGGGTTATTCTAGATGCTGGGTTATTCTAGGGGATGCTGGGTTATTCTAGATGCTGGGTTATCCTATGGGATGCTGGGTTATCCTGGGGGATACTGGGTTATCCTATGGGATGCTGGGTTATCCTGGGGGATGCTGGGTTATCCTGGGGGATGCTGGGTTATCCTAGGGGATGCTGGGTTATTCTAGGGGATGCTGGGTTATCCTAGGGGGATGCTGGGTTATCCTAGGGGGATGCTGGGTTATCCTGGGGGATGCTGGGTTATCCTAGGGGGATGCTGGGTTATCCTAGGGGGATGTTGGGTTATCCTATGGGATGCTGGGTTATCCTGGGGGATGCTGGGTTATTCTAGGGGGATGCTGGGTTATTCTAGGGGGATGCTGGGTTATCCTAGGGGGATGCTGGGCTATTCTAGGGGGATGCTGGGTTATCCTAGGGGATGCTGGGTTATCCTAGGGGGATGCTGGGTTATTCTAGGGGGATGCTGGGTTATCCTAGGGGGATGCTGGGTTATTCTATGGGATGCTGGGTTATCCTAGGGGATGCTGGGTTATCCTAGGGGATGCTGGGTTATCCTAGGGGATGCTGGGTTATCCTGGGGGATGCTGGGTTATCCTGGGGGATGCTGGGTTATCCTAGGGGATGCTGGGTTATCCTAGGGGATGCTGGGATATCCTAGGGGATGCTGGGTTATCCTAGGGGGATGCTGGGTTATCCTAGGGGGATGCTGAGTTATCCTAGGGATGCTGGGTTATCATAGGGGATGCTGGGTTATCATAGGGGGTGCTGGGTTATCATAGGGGATATTGGGTTATCCTAGGATATCCCAGGGGATGGTGGGATATATGTGATACGAGATACTGAGGTAAGCTAGGATATGTTGAGTAGTGTTAGAATAGGCTGTGACATACTAGAAGATGCTGTGAGCTGCATATATATATATATATATATATATATATATATATATATATATATATATATATATATATATATAATCTTCTCTACCCTTCACCCCCTTTTCTCCTTCATCTCAGTAATATAAGTGATGGAGTCTTGTATTTAGCTAGATTGCAAATTAGCATCTTGCCATTATATACCAAAGGGGCGGCAGGATTTGGGTGAGACCAGCCCCCCAATGTGTGGCCTCCAACTTGGAACAGACAGCCAGACATAGTCTCTTATACTATTATATAATATTCTATATTAATATAATGTCTTTTCTCTTTTCAACACAGTGGCACCCTCCTCGAGTCCTACGGCTCCTACTGGTCTGATTTAATAGCTAACGTGGTCCCTGTGGTTGGTCACAGGCTGGGCTGACCTGGTTGTCTTCAATCTCAATCTTCAACCCCTAATCTTTAACCACCCCAATCTTCAACTGCACTCGCGTCCAATCTTCCCCCCACCACCTACATCTTTCTGACCACCAGCAAGTCATCTCCTGCGCGCCTCAACGTCCGCCCTCACCGAGAAAGAATGTTTCCGTATTACATCCGCCGAGCCACTGAGGAATGGTTCTTGTATATCTAAGACGTCGGACTGGATGTGTTAAGATGGTGTACCAACTTCAAGAAACATCACAACAAGCTTATAATGATTGTGTTTGGAGCACGAAGATCCTGTGCTGAGCTTGGAAGAGAAAATGTCTAACAGAACTTAATCATCACTGTATGTTGAATATTCAGTGACCATTAGTGTATATCTTGAGACGTGTGTATAGGTATTTCTTGTGTATAAAACTTAAACAACATTCTCCAAGATCCAAGAGTTTGGCAGTCACAGTCAAGGGTATGAATGCCGTCTCCAAAACGTTGTAGGCAGGTAGCAATAGAGTGAGGAGTCAAGCGAGGCTTCCTTCAATAACATGCACACAACAAAAGGTTCTCGCTTGATACCTCCAAAACACTACTACTGCTGCCATGAAATTAATTTGGCTCAAAAATTTAGATATTTTAGATGTTCAGAATTCATTCCTATTATTTTTTTACTCGGTTTCATACTTTAAACGTATATACATAGTTCAATGTATACATAATTTCGACGCATCTTCAGAAAACACAAACCTGAACAATATTTAAAGCTGTGTCACACTCTTTAATCTAAGAATTATCTGTTAATTATCCGTGAATTATCACTGAATTATCCGTGAATTATCTCTGAATTATCCGTGAATTATCACTGAATTATCCGTGAATTATCTCTGAATTATCCGTGAATTATCTCTGAATTATCCGTGAATTATCACTGAATTATCCGTGAATTATCACTGAATTATCTGTGAAATATATATAGGAAGCTTTAATAAATTCTTGTATCTATGAATAATATGTGTTTTCACCGTAAATTTTCACTGTATCATCTAATTCATAAATTATCATTGAATTATTTGAGTTTTTTAGATTTTGAAAAATTTGTTATAATGTGGAAAGTGTGCAATCTGAATTATATATGATGAAAAATAATCTTGAAGCCTGGTCGAAGACCGGGCCTAGGGGGTCATTGAACCCTGTAATCATTGCAATGAGGGGGCAATGCAATAGACTTGAACTCGCGACCTGGTGATGAATCCCAACGATGATACACAAGTCTCATCAGCCTGTAGCCCAGGGTCAGACCTATATAGAGGAAGGGGGGGGGGGGGGTAGAACTTTATTATACTTTAATCCCTATTTTTATATATTTTTTAATACTCCATTACTTAAAGTCTATATCGAAGGTTGCTTCAGTCGACTCTACGCGCATCAACTAGTTATAGATAATCTTAATTGTGTTATTTTTCTATGTTGGGCTTGTGATGTATTCATTTATATACTTTAAATAAAAAAATATATAAAAAAATTACATTTTTTATTTAATAAGCAAATTGGGGTAATTAATTTAGTACCGACATGCGGTAATTAATGGTGTCTGAATGTTTGCAAACCTATATTGGTTATCTTGAGTTATATTGAATCCAACTGTTATAGAATTTAACAGTTAAACAGCCGTTTTCTGTTTTGGATCCTCTGGTAGGTTAGGATAAGGATACTTTAAATGGACCGTTTTTCTTGGCGTTGGAAAACCTCCGGAGGAACTGGATGAGCAACTCCGCCTCCTGTTTACATAGTACATTTCGCAACTATGTGCACCATAGTACAACAATTGACATACTAAGCAATTAGACCGAATTTTGTACTATTCACTTGATAGTCCGAAACAAATTAAGCTAAAAAAACAAACTTATATATTCCCAGGCCTAGTATAGCGCACGTGTATTATAATAGGCCTCAGATATCGTGCATTAGGCCTTGGAAGGTTAGGTTAGTTTAGTATATCTTTGCAACATAAATGGAAAATCTGTTTCCCGTTTGTGCAAATGCAATAGTACCAATTTCAAATGCAATAGTACCAATTTCAAATGCAATAGTACCAATTTCAAATGCAATAGTACCAATTTTAAATGCAATAGTACCAATTTCGAATGCAATAGTACCAATTTCTACTTTCTAATTGCATTGTACGTGGCTATATGTACTATGGTCCACACCGTTACTATAGGTACTGCCAAAACAGGAAGATGGGCTGAGATGGGTGGAATGTCCTCAGAAATATATATACCTAAAGTTGACTGTCAAGAAGAGCGCCATTCTCCCAATTTATAATATCAAAATCCTACACTGCACCGGAGGATGGGTACAGGAAGGTTACAGGTTACAGTTTTAACGAAAGGAATTAAGGAAATGTTTTTGATTGTAGATGATTGTGAGGCGAGGTATTCCGACACGACTTTTGGCGCTAAACCCCGGGGAAAAGTGAGTGAGGAACTGGTATCCAGGGGTCAGATTCATGAAGCAGTTACGCAAACACTTACCAACCTATACATCTTTTCTCAATCTTTGGCGGCTTTGTTTACAATTATTAAACAGTTAATGAGCTCCGAAGCACCAGGAGGCTGTTTATAACAATAACAACAGTTGACTGGGAAGTTTTCATGCTTGTAAAGTGTTTAATAAATGTAACAAAAGCCATCAAAGATTGAGGAAAGATGTACACGTTCGTAAGTACTTGCGTAACTGCTTCGTGAATCTGGTTCCAGGAGCAGATATTAGGAATGTCATTAGCAATATGAACAGGATTATGGCCGGTAATGGGACAAAATGTTTAAGAGGCATTTATACAAAAATTTAAAACAGTTATGAAGTTATATTCAAGGCCAGCATGGCGATCCTATGTGGCGTCACTTCCCAGAAGGGGGAGTTGGAAATGTCTCATGGCTGTCTCTAGCGGAATTGGTGTCAATTGTCATCTAGACCGGGCGACAGTGTTCGATCCCGGACGCCGGCGAGAAACAATGGGCAGAGTTTCTTTCACCCTATGCCCCTGTTACCTAGCAGTAAATAGGTACCTGGGTGTTAGTCAGCTGTCACGGGCTGCTTCCTGGGGGGTGGAGGCCTGGTCGAGGACCGGGCCGCGGGAACACTAAAGCCCCGAAATCATCTCAAGATAACCTCAAGATAACTAGACGTGTTCAGCATGTAAATCACATCCACTGCGGCAGGCGCAACACTCGTTGAAAAATACGTTCAACATGGGCTTATATCTTTACCTTGAACCTCCGCTGTCGCAGGCGTCCACCGGCGAGAATCTCAGGCTGATCATTGGCGCAGGGAATGACAAACAAAAATGTAGAGATTGTACTGACAGTCGGCGAAGACTGGCCACGCTCTCAGACCATAGCGTGGCGTGGCCATTGAACGCAGTCGACTGGCACTCTACAATGACTGCAATTGGCACCTGTGGAGAACACACACATGGCAGTAGGCACCCCAGAACCACCCGGGCTGGCTCATGAGGTGTACGAGTGCTGGATGATCACATTGTATATACAGACAAGCAACTGACGTAGGCGGTTTGAGCTTTATAACATTAAGTGATGGCAGCAAATCTAAGCTATACTCTAACGTCAGTTTGAAGTTAAATCTCTTGAACACATGCACAGAATGTTGACAAAGTTAATTCCAGGAATTAAATATAGAATCCTTCTATATTAAGACTGAATAAAAACTTACATTACATGATTGAGTAAGAGTAAGGGGTTATGATTGTAGTATAGGATGAAACGACCTAACAAATGGGTTATACTCAAGATAGTCTATCGCGACACAGAATAGAACTCGAACCAATAGATATGAGGGACGTTGTCTTTCATTTGGGTTGTTCCTCAAAGACTCACACTTGGGATGTTCCTCACACACTCACACACACACACACACACACACACACACACACACACACACACACACACACACACACACACACACACACACACACACACACACACACACATTCCCATCCCATTATTTTGTTAAGAAAAACGGCAAATTGCTTCAGTACAGAATGATTGTTTCCATTGAAGGTCGTTCAAAATGATGCTTAATAATAAAATATTGTTGGGCGTGCTGGTGACCTGGCTGGTCGTGGAGTACCTGATAGCCCATAGCTACTACCACCTGGAGGCCGTCTACCTGGAGCAGACCAGGTCCAGAGGTGCCTTCGCCTCCTGGCCTCTCCTTGGCCTCCTGGTCCCCGGCTCCAGGCAGCGGAAGGAGGACCTGACCCGAGGCACAGTGATGTGGACCTGGCTCGCCTCGCTGCCTGTGGTCTGGCGACTGGTTCCTCGTCACCTGCAGGTGACCAGGAGTGGGAGCTTGACCTGGCTGCCTCTGGTTGGCTCCATCCTCCGCCTGGAGGCCCTCAGGAGACAGGTGGAAGTCCTCAGAGCGCAGGCGCAGCTGCACGGCGGCAACTTGTTTATTTCCCTGGTTTTGGCGGGAATGACGATCTTCGCTTGTGTGATGCTTTTCGCGGGAAATGTATACCGCTTACATATCATAGACGACTGGTATCCCGAAATGGGGCGGCAACCTCCCGAAGAACCCTCGGCCAGCAGGGAACCCTCGGCCAGCAGGGAACCCTCGGCCAGCAGGGAACCCTCGGCCAGCAGGGAACCCTCGGCCAACAGGGAACCCTCGGCCAGCAGGGAACCCTCGGCCAACAGGGAACCTTCGGCCAACAGGGAACCCTCGGCCAACAGGGAACCCTCGGCCAACAGGGAACCCTCGGCCAACAGGGAACCCTCGGCCAACAGGGAACCCTCGGCCAGCAGGGAATTCTCCCCAGGAAGGCTGTGAAGACCCAGCTGGTTCTTCCCAGGAAGAAATGAAGATCACAATACGACTAATATAGTCGTGGTTCATGCGACGGTGCTGGAACCAATCGTATTGGCGTTTGTCTTTCCATCGGAGACTTTCGGCGCCGCGGAGAGGGGGCTGCATGGGCAACAGCTTCTCCGTATCAACCTATCCTGGCTTTGCGCCCTGGAGAGGCCACGCCAGAGCGCAACTCCATAGTCTCCCGAGACTGATGGATGCCTACTACTATTTGTATATTCTACCGTTTATTCCGTAAGTTCCTTGCGAGTCTTTCACTTGGTACCTTATCAAAACCTTCAGTGGTCTACCGGGCTCCTTTGTCTGAATAGCTGGCAAAGAAGCAGGAATTATTTTGAACAAAATCATATCGCGTTGATTTTTATTAGGATTGTTCGCGGTGAGATGGCGAATGGTTCCCTGCCTTTTGGGCTCTCTCCGTGAGCTTGCAGATATGGAAATTCAGTCATCGAAACGTTGTTTTCTGCCGAGCTCATTCTATCTTTTCTTTTAAAAAATAGGGGTAATATTTGCATATTTTTATTCTTGCGGAACTATCCCTTGGTCCAGAAAGTTTCTGAAAAGGAGTTTTAGTGGTAGACAGTTCAGTTGCCAGTTCCTTAACGACTATTGGACTGAATTTTGTCCACACCTGAGGCTTTTGAGTTTGTTCAGTTTGTCAATGTTTTTTTTCCTGAATATATTGCATGTTATGGGGGATATTCCTTAATTCCTTGTCTTCACTTGCTTCAAACATGTGTGCGGAGAGTGGAATGTTGTCTAAACTAGGGGGAAGTAGAAATAGCCTAAGCTACTCTATCCCTTTGTGATGTATTTCTTTCTTGTCACGATAAATATGCTTGAACTTTTCTAAACTATGAACACTGATGCAAGATATTAATTCAGATCATAGGCTACCCTTTTATCCTCAATAGTAACTTGGTTGGTTATCTTTTATGGGTTCTAGCGCGTCTCTTTTGTTTTTACTTGTTATATAGGCATAGAAAGACTTCTTATATAGGCATAAAAAAAACTTTGGATCTTCCGTTATGTTTTGAGCAAGTTTTATAATATTTTTTTTCTGATTTGATTTCCTAGTGGCTGAACTTAAGGCCCTTCTGAATATCTGTTTAGATAGTAATTACAGCCCTTCCTCTTGTTTAGATAGTAATTACAGTAACGACGCTGACCATCGCACACATATTATTGACGTAATGGACAATTAGAATCTGGTACTATTCAATTTAGACAAACCGGAAAAGGTTCTGTATTTGTTAATATAACCTAGCCTAACCATCCTAAGCCTAATACCCGCTATTTGAGGCCTAAAATTGTACATATAGTGCTATACTGAGAGCCCTCAGCAGCCCTGCCCTACTTGACAGCGTCGCCAGCACCCCCGCAGTGCTTGACAGCGCCGCCAGCAGCCCCGCCCTACTTGACAGCGCCGCCAGCAGCCCTGCCCTACTTGACAGCACCGCCAGCAGCCCCGCCCTGCTTGACTGCGTCGCCAGCAGCCCCGCCCTGCTTGACAGCACCGCCAGCAGCCCTGCCCTGCTTAACTGCGCCGCCAGCAGCCTTGCCCTGCTTGACAGCACCGCCAGCAGCCCCGCCATGCTTGACAGCGTCGCCAGCAGCCCTGCTTGACTGCGTCGCCAGCAGCCCCGCCCTGCTTGACTGCGTCGCCAGCAGCCCCGCCATGCTTGACAGCGTCGCCAGCAGCCCCGCCCTGCTTGACAGCGCCGCCAGCAGCCCCGCCCTGCTTGACTGCGTCGCCAGCAGCCCCGCCCTGCTTGACTGCGTCTCCAGCAGCCCCGCCCAGCTTGACTGCGTCGCCAGCAGCCCCGCCCTGCTTGACAGCACCGCCAGCAGCCCCGCCCTGCTTGACTGCGTCGCCAGCAGCCCCGCCCTGCTTGACTGCGTCGCCAGCAGCCCCGCCCTGCTTGACAGCGTCGCCAGCAGCCCCGCCCTGCTTGACTGCGTCGCCAGCAGCCCCGCCATGCTTGACTGCGTCGCCAGCAGCCCCGCCATGCTTGACTGCGTCGCCAGCAGCCCCGCCATGCTTGACTGCGTCGCCAGCAGCCCCGCCATGCTTGACTGCGTCGCCAGCAGCCCCGCCATGCTTGACTGCGTCGCCAGCAGCCCCGCCATGCTTGACTGCGTCGCCAGCAGCCCCGCCATGCTTGACTGCGTCGCCAGCAGCCCCGCCATGCTTGACTGCGTCGCCAGCAGCCCCGCCATGCTTGACTGCGTCGCCAGCAGCCCCGCCATGCTTGACTGCGTCGCCAGCAGCCCCGCCATGCTTGACTGCGTCGCCAGCAGCCCCGCCCTGCTTGACTGCGTGCTTGACTGCGTCGCCAGCAGCCCCGCCATGCTTGACTGCGTCGCCAGCAGCCCCGCCATGCTTGACTGCGTCGCCAGCAGCCCCGCAGTGTTTGACAGCACCGCCAGCAGCCCCGCAGTGTTTGACAGCACCGCCATGCTTGACTGCGTCGCCAGCAGCCCCGCCCTGCTTGACAACGCCGCCAGCAGCCCCGCCCTGCTTGACAACGCCGCCAGCAGCCCCGCCCTGCTTGACTGCGTCGCCAGCAACCCCGCCATGCTTGACTGCGTCGCCAGCAGCCCCGCCATGCTTGACTGCGTCGCCAGCAGCCCCGCCATGCTTGACTGCGTCGCCAGCAGCCCCGCCATGCTTGACTGCGTCGCCAGCAGCCCCGCCCTGCTTGACTGCGTCGCCAGCAGCCCCCCAGTGCTTGACAGCGTTGCCAGCAGCCCTGTCCTACTTGACAGCGTCACCAGCAGCCCCGCCCCAGCTTGACAACGCCGCCAGCAGATGGCAAGTTTCCCGTCACCTAATGGCCCTGTTCACCTAGCAGTAAATAGGTAGCCAGGAGTTAGTCAGCTGTTGTGGAACTGCTGCTGGGGTCAGTTCGATCTTGGAAGACCTATCTTGAGGTTATCTTTATTGATTTCGGGGCTTAGTGTCCCCGCGGCCCGGTCCTCGACCAGGCCTCCATCCCCAGGAAGCAGCTGTCTAACTCCTAGGTACCTATTTACTACTAGATGAACAGGGGCATCACGGTGAAAGAAACTCTTACCATTTGTTTCCGCCTCCACCGGGGATTGAACCCGGAACCTTAGGACTACGAATCCCGAGCCGTCAGGCCCCTATGACCAGGATACAAGCCTAACGTGTTTACCCATAGGATGTGTCACAGCAAGCGCTTGAGGTCAGGATTAGTGGTGCACTTAACAGTTTACTTGTACCACAGATCTGTGTCGGCTGCAAATGTGATGACATTTGTAATGTTCTCATTTGTACCACTGATGTTTATTTTTAACAGACAGGATTAGCCCCAAAATAGAGCCTTGAGGTACTCCATTCACATTTGTTCTCATTTCACAAATTCAGTCTCATTTAGGACGACCCTTTTTGTTTAAATCATTTTAAAATAATAATAATTTTAATATTTTTTATTAAAATGTAATACATGTTATTTTTTTCAAGTTTTCTGTTATATGGGACCTTTTGCTAAGATAAGTCCATATACACTACGTCCACTGAAAGTCTTTTAATTCATCATTTTAATGCATTGTGTCAGGGGACAGGAAGACAGAGTGTATACATACACGTTAGGCTTTTATTACCCCCCCCCCTCTATCCCCAGGGGTCGAATTACTGACCCCGCCCGTGATGCAACCCCACAACAAACTGATTAACTTCTGAGTACCTACTTACTGCTAGGTGAACAGAGGCATTAGATGAAAAGAAATGTGCCCAACCGTTTCTGTCCCGCCCGGGATTCGAACCGGGAATTCTGGATTGTGCGTCCAGAACGAACCCGAATGTACTACCTAATGGGACTCTCTGAGCCACTGACGCAGTCTTCAGGCTTGCTGCCTTCCGTTGATAGTTACTTTGAAGGAGAACCTGTTTACCGTTTTCAAAGCGGTCAACAGGTTAAAGGTTCTTTGTTTCTTTTTATAAAACCACGTGGTGCTGATTTGACAACATTGTTTCACCGTGAAATGATAAATGATTTCGTGAGCTCGCACATACGAGGCTACGCTTGCCAGTTGGTATAGGTTTCTCCTGCACAATTTTTCCATCCTTCTGCATACAAGTTTAGGGTGATAGTTCATCTGCCTGTTTTTGGATACAATGCTATCCAAAAATTTAAATTTTAAAGATTCCTTTAATGTGTCGTTGATCTATACCAGATTCTTTCGCACGTTATGGGAATATCCCTTAATTCATTCTCTTCTGCTTCAAAACATATGTATGTGTGATGTATTAGAGATATAACATATTACATACATATTAAACATGTGTATTAGAAATATATATTCTCTGGCGGTATATGTCCACTCACAGGATGAGTGGCGCTGCCCAATAAACTCGCCCCTCTGGGCAAAATTTAAATTTAAAATTTCTCTCTCCGGTAAACTGATATAAAGTATTCAGTGTGTGTTAGGTGCCTTCCAACGAAGCAGCTCTGACATGCTGGTGTTGCAGGTGCTGAAGTTGGTGCTGCAGGTGCAGAAGGTGCTGTAGTTTAGTGTTGCAAGAGCAGGAATATGGAGGAGCAGATCACCTGGTGGTGGTGTTACAGTTGGCTGAACAAGCTATAATGTAATTCCAGGATAACCTGGCTTCAAGCAAGAATAGTACATGATCTTTTGTCTCCGGTGAGGGGTGGGGCCTCCCTATGCTGCAGGGGGCCTCCCTATGGGGGGGCCTGCTCCCTATGCTGCAGGGGGCCTCCCTATGCTGCAGGAGGCCTCCCTATGCTGCAGGATGGCCTCCCTATGCTGCAGGGCCTTCCTATGGGCTGCAGGGGGCCTCCCTATGCTGCAGGGGGGCTCCCTATGCTGCAGGAGGCCTCCCTATGCTGCAGGGGGCCTCCCTATGCTGCAGGGGGCCTCCCTATGCTGCAGGGGGCCTCCCTATGCTGCAAGAGGCCTCCCTATGCTGCAGGGGGCCTCCCTATGCTGCAGGGGGCCTCCCTATGCTGCAGGGGGGCCTCCCTATGCTGCAGGGGGCCTCCCTATGCTGCAGGGGCCTCCCTATGCTGCCCTCCCTATGCTGCAGGAGGCCTCCCTATGCTGCAGGGAGCCTCCCTATGCTGCAGGGGGCCTCCCTATGCTGCAGGGGGCCTCCCTATGCTGCAGGGGGCCTCCCTATGCTGCAGGGGGCCTATGCTGCAGGGGGCCTCCCTAGTCCCTATGCTGCAGGGGGGCCTCCCTATGCTGCAGGGGGCCTCCCTATGCAGGGGGCTCCCTATGCTGCAGGGGGGCCTCCCTATGCTGCAGGGGGCCTCCCTATGCTGCAGGGGGCCTCCCTATGCTGCAGGGGGGCCTCCCTATGCTGCAGGGGGCAACTGCAGGGGCGCCTCCCTATGCTGCAGGGGGGCCTCCCTATGCTGCAGGGGGGCCTCCCTATGCGGTAGGCTGTAGTATGGTTGCACTATTTCCTGGTTAGTCGAGCAACGCAGCAGACAATGCTGAACGGTGTGCGAGTTGTTACAAAGTCTTGTCTGGCCTCGATTATTTTCTTGATTTCAGCTTGACGAAGTGACCACTCCGAGGAAACAGCAATGTGAACACCCCCCCCCCTTCCCCCTTACAAAGGATTTTTTTATTATTATTATTTTCTACCACAGATGTGGCCAGACATTTACAATGCTAAGCAGCATATATATACATTTTCTTCTATCCTCCATGGACAGGGTTAGAGATCAGTTAAACATATAGTTCAGGGATTTATTGAACACTTACAAAGGTGGCATGGTTTATGGTAGGCCTTGGCTGTCCCTGGTAGTTGTGGTCGAGGGAGCAGGTACTACACTTTCCTTCTAGTAAAAGTACACTAGTGTGTGTAGTGGTGGCCGGTCAAGCACTTACGCCACTTAAGAAAGAGGAGCTAACAACACTGAAAGGCAGACATGACAGAGCCCATCTCATTGAAACTTAACAAAAAATGTTGATCCAAACCACTTGTTCGAAAGATCTGATATAACAATAACAAGGAACGGTTGCAAGTTCAACAAACCACAATGCAAGACGCGAAAAGAGTAGATTCTTTTTTTCGGCAATAAAGAGTTATAATCCCATGGAACCGCCTACCCGCCGAAGGCGGAAATACCAAAACGCTGCTAAATATCAAAATCCAGCTTGACCAAATCATGAGAACAAATGGGTGGGCCTTCGACACGCCGCCGGCTTCCTGTCCTCGTCGAGGCCACTAGAAGAGTAGCCCTCAGGTAAATTCAGGTAAAAATACAAAAACACCTCAAGCCATCGTCTGCAGCAAGAGTTGCATCAGCACAATAAAACAACATCAAAAAATACACACCCTGCAGGACAAAGTTCAAAAGGATAGTCCTGAAAACTTACTAAAAACAAAACTTACCGGAAAACCCGGAAGCAAGAAGACTGTGGTGGAGGGTAGAAATTGCCTATGCTACTCTCTCCCTTATTGTTTAAGATTCAGCTTCTTGGAACAAAAAGTTGCAAGTAGCACGGGCTATGGTGAGCCCGTAGTGGACTTACCTGGCATCAGAGCGGCGGCTGGAACTTGTACCTACTCTATCCTGTTGAGATGTATTTTATAGTCTCAATAAACGTACTTGAAGGCAGAGGTGGGGGAAGAGACACGACGAGATGCTCCGTAGACAGCAGCGGCAGACGCCCGACTGAGTGCCCGATGGGCCTAGCTGTCGCCTCTTAAGGTGTGCAACTGCAGGTGGAAATGACCTAACTGCCGTGTGTGTCCCTTGTTTGACAGTTGACACTATTCCCTTACTGCTGTGTATTTTGGAGCGCTCTCCAAATTCACCAAATTCTCCAAACTCACCTTTCTGGGGAGTTTGTCTCTTGACCTGAGTTTCATCTAGTATCAGTAGACCAGGGGGGCCCCGATTCACGAAGCAGTTACGCAAGTATTTACGAACGTGTACATCTTTCCTCAATCTTTGACGGCTTTGGTTACATTTATTAAACAGTTTACAAACATGAAAACGTCCCAATTAATTGTTGTTATTGTTATAAACTGCCTCCTGGTGCTTCGGAGCTCACTTTAATAATTGTAAACAAACCCACCAAAGATTGAGAAAAGATGGACAGGCTCGTAAGTGCTTGACTAACTGCTTCGTGAATCTGGCCCCAGAGTGTTTCTGGTCTTCAATAGGCTTTTATAGACTTTCAATTCTGCTTCTGGTTGGGACATGTGTTGTCTGTTGGCATTTCAGTCTCGTTCGAACCTTTTTCCCCGGCTTCAAGAGTCATTTTCCCACCTCCATGATGGTAATGCTTATTTAGGCAAGAGTACATTCATACAAAAAATTACAGGAACAGTTGAGGAGTCATGATTAACATAAGTACGGTGCCTAAAGCGTATGCAGAAAGTTTTGGAAATAACATCAACTTAAATAACATAATTATTACATGATATTTGGAAACTGTAAACTTTTAATTTGAAGAAGCGATTGAACACATATACGATTTTTGTAATAAGCGTGTTTTAATAAAATAAATAAAACAATACAACAGAGTAAATTTATAAAATTTCAAAGTTTTATGGGTAAACACTTAAAAAAATTCACCAGAAGGATAACGTATTTGTCTTGAGCAAGAAGTTTAACAAAAATAGATACAATAATTAGATGACACAATGAAGAAAGGCATACGTTTTTAGTCAAGAAAATTTTAGATAACCGACAAAAATTTCTTGTTTATGCGGAAAAATGAGTGAAAATTGTTTTAGTAAATATTTCTTAAGATTTTTTCAAACTGATTGGGAGTTGTACATACTTGACG